CCCCCCGCCCAACCCATTAAAAAAATTTGATAATAAAATTGAACTTACAAAAAATGTAAAATTGACACGCAAAAATTATTACACTTTTTTAAAATTACTTCAGCGACTTCATTAACAAAGTATCCTTATTGTAGCAATTGGATGTAGAGTGAGGTGACACTTATGTCATACTGCATCCAATTACCACACTATGTTAATTGAGGGCTAGTTTACTTCATGTCTGAACGTTGTGAAACGTATTGTCAATGACCATACATCCTAGACCTGGGAGGGCGACCTCTACCAAGACAGCCGCAGTTGTGGTAAAATGAAAATTAAAATTCGCCACACAACAGATCAATTAGAAAAGACAACTGTTAGATCAAATGAAAGAGTAAACAAACAAACGTTGCTGAAGCTTGAACCAAAAGACAGGACATTAAAGATGTGAATGTTTTGGCTTAGAGCCTTCTTCAGAAACCGACACGTTCACATCTTTAATGTCCTGCCTTTTGGTTCAAGCTTCAACAAAGCTTGTTTTTAAAAAAAAAACAAAAAACTATTTCCTTCATATAGCTTGAATGCGGTCCTTCAATTATTATCTGTTAAATCAAATTAGAAAAAAATTAAACCGAAAGCGGTGCCTCTGCTAGTGATTAAGTATTAAAATACACATCTTAAATTATTGTCACCAACAGTATTTTTTTTTCCCGAAGACGCCATTCATTTTTGGGAGGTTTAAGGGGGAGGTATTTTTTTAGGCACTTTTAGCGCAGAGTCATTGACCACCAGCATTTGAGCGAAGTACCATGTGTCCAGCCGGGGCAGCGAACACTGCATGACTGTGAGGACGCCGAGCTTCTGGTCGCTGCACAGTACGACGTCGGTTATCTTGGAGAGGGTGAAGCTGTACATGTCAAAATGCTGGGCCCCCCAGAACTCTGCTGATCTCGATGGAGGAGATCAGCTGAACAGAGCCGCGAAGCAGACGGTAAAATTTCTCACCCTAGGCTGCTGCTACAGCACCTTCAGATGACCGGCTGGCGTATCCGCTTCGTTGAATGTCAAGGTCGCTTGGTAGGGACGACTTTGGCGAACGGTCAAGTCACATTCCAAAAGAATGCTGCGGAATCTGGGGGAAGGATACAATGGAAAATAGTGCACTAAAGGGGTGAAAGTGATCATTAAAATTTTAAGGTGTGTGAATAAT